CCATTTTGACAACATCCTTCACTCTGTTGGACACCTCTTCCAGGCAGGGTTCCTACTACTTTGGGGTTACTTAGAAGTCATTAGTCAGAATTCAATTCCATCAATTCAATACTTCTTTCAATGGCTCTTATACAAGATATGGCAACTCTCTAATGTCCAAAACCCACCATTTCATTGCAAGCTTGATTCTCCACCAACTCATTGTAGTTTCAGAATTTGTATGTCTGCCTTGTGGGTACTTTCACAAAATTACTTCCTACCAGCCTTCACAAAAGGCCTCCATTATTCCCAGTTCACTTTAGTCTTTTATTTATTTATCTGCTGGATTTCCATCCCTTCAGAAATTCAAGGTGACATACACAGTGCTCCCTCTTCTCCTTTCCCCCTCACGGCAACCTTGAGGATGGCTCAAAGCCACCCCTGAAGAGTGGACTTGAAACTGGATCTCCCTGCTCCTAATCCAGTGTGTAATGCTGGTTCTTTCTGAGCAATGGCATCTTTCCAAACCAAGATTGAGATTAGACAACCACCATTTGTGCTGTCTGTATAGGGCCAAGGAATATTTTTGCAGAAAGAAACAAGGGTAGAAACTGTTGCAAAAATCTAGCATTTAACTCATGAGGTACAGGAAGCTGGCATGTGCCAAGGGAAATGTCCTGGAACCATGTTAGACGAAGAGCCAATTGTTATTGCCAAGGGATCAAAGGTTGGTTGGTTTTCCCAATATAAACTGACGGGAATTCCCAAGAAAGTGAAAGAAATCCGAATCGGGTAGCAAAACGCAGGCTCCAATTGCATTTCTTTTGGCACTTGAGGGGGAAAGTGTCCTTGAGAAGAACTGAGGCAGTGTTTGCCAGTAAAATGGGCAACTTTTTGGCCATCAGTGATTGCAGAACATCCTGACTGGAACACTATGCAAAAAAGCATTGTTGTCTTTTCTAAAACACCCTTTAAGTGTAACCACAGTAGCTACAAAAGCACTGACTGGATGGCACAGCTATTTTTCCTTCCTTCCTTCCTTCCTTCCTTCCTTCCTTCCTTCCTTCCTTCCTTCCTTCCTTCCTTCCTTCCTTCCTTCCTTCCTTCCTTCCTTCCTTGGCATCAAGAACCTCAGGGCTCCCAAGTAAGGGTGAAGCATGCATCCAGACAGAGGCAACTGCAGGGAGTGGTAAAAAAAAAATCAAGATGGCTGCTGTGGATATGCATTAAAAAGAAGTGGGCTTCAATGGCAGGGTTGCAGCCCCCATCATGGTCTTTTTGACTCCTCCTTTGGATGCCTGCCCTCTAAGGAGGATCTGACAGACTTTCAGACATCTGCTGGATCAAAGCAAAACTCTACTGTCCAGAGGGCTTTGCCAGAATCGCCAAGAAGAATGCTCCTTGACAGCAATATCTCTTTGTGCATATACCAGCCTTCAAAGACACCCTTTAAAAGGATAAGTGTGCATGCAGGGTGTACATGTAGCCCTCACCTTACAACAGTTCATTTAGTGACCATTCAAAGTTACTGAAAAAAATGACTCATGGCTGTTTTTCATACTTACGACCATTACAGCATCCCAATGGTCAAGTGATCAGAATTCGTATATTTGGCAGCTGACTCATATTTATGATGGTTGCAGTGTCCCAGGGTCATCTGATCCCCTTTTGTGACCTTCTGACAAGCAAAGTCAATGGGAAAGCCATATTACTGACTTAACAGTAGCAGTGACTCACTTAACAAAGGTGGCAAGAAAGATCATAACATGGGGCCGCAAAACTCATTTAACAAATGTCTCAATTAGCAACAGAAATTTTGGGCTCAAATGTGGTCTTAAGTTGAGGACTACCTGTAGTAGGCCAAGTGTTTATATTAAAGGGCATACAGGAGGTCCTCAACTTGCGACCCCACTTGAGACTGGAAAGTCTGATGCTAAATGAGTCTGTTGTTAAGTGAACTGCATTTGACTTTACAATCTTTTTTGCCAAAGGTTGTTAAGTGAATCACTGCTGTTGTCAAGTAAATCATGAGGTCGTTAAGTGAATCTGGCTTCCCCCATTGTCTTTGCTTGTCAATAGCCAACTGGGAAGATCACAAACGGCAATCACAAGACCTCAGGATGCCACAAGTGTCATGATTACATGTGAATTGCCTAGTGACTGAATCTTGATCCTGTGTCCCTGGCGAAGCTGCAACAGTTGTAATCGTGAGGAGCTGTTGCAAGTCAGTTTTTTCAGGGCTGATGTAACTTAGAATGGTCACTAAATGAATGGTCATAAGCTTACAACCATAATGGAGCCCAAAATTTCTGTTGGTAAGCAAGACATTTGTTAAGCGAATTTTGCCTCATTTTACGACTTTTCTTGTCACCGTTATTAAGTGAATCTGGCTTTTCCATTGACTTTGCTTGTCAGAAGGTCACAAAAGGGGATCACATGACCTCCCTGGGACACAGCAATCGTCATAAATAGGAACCAGTTGCCATGCGTCTCAATTTTTGATCATGTGACCCATGGGGATGTTGTCTTGAAGTGTATAAAATGGCCACAAGTCACTTTTTTCAGTGGTGTTGTAACTTCAAACAGGCACTAAATGAACTGTTGTAAATTGAGGACTACCTGTATCGTATCTGAGCTGTAACAAACCATTCCACCATTAGGTTGTAGCAAAAAGATGCTCAAAATCTTAACCCTTGACAGCTATATAGTGGCTGCAATTGTGTAGGTAGAATCATCCTACTGTTAGAACGTTTTGGAATTGATTTTGCTTGTTGTGGAATTATTTTTGCTAAAGGAACATCTCTCTTCTCTTGATTTAAGTAGCCCAACCACGTGAGGCCCAACTCTTTTAAAACCTCAGCAAGAACTTAAAAAGAAAAAGAAAGAAATTGTCTTGCTTTAAGAAATCTATTCTTCATGCCAACTTTAAAGCAGTTTGTGTGGAATCCTGAAAGAAGAATTGAGTTGTTTTAATGAGAACAGAGGCACTGAGCAAATTCAAAATCTAAAGCAGGGCGCCTCCAACCTTGGGAACTTTAGGACTTGTTGATTTTAACTACCAGAATTCCCCAGCTGGCATGGACAGCTGGAGAATTCTGGGAGTTAAAGACTGAGGATTTAAAGTTCCCAAGGTTGGACTACTCCTGGTCTAAAGCATATCTTCTGCAGGATTTCTGAAGCCCATCCAGACTTGGTGGCACCCAACCTGCTCCTTATACTATCTATACAACCATTGCATACTTCAAGTTTTAAACACATTGTTCTTGTGGTGAGGGTCAGAGCTAAGAAGCTCCCCAAAGCATCAGAAAGAGAAACTACAGTTTGCAGAACAAAATTCCAAGGTGAGGTTTTGGCTCCAATGATGAATGTGGTCAGCGGATGAGGTTTCACAAGGGATTGATAGCATCTACAGATCAGAAATCACACAGGAAACCCCACCTGAAAAAAAGGGGGAAAAAGGGGGGAGAGACAAAGATAGGAGAAAGTTTACGAAACTGTTCTGAACAACCGTGCCCTAGTTTGCAAGGGTCTGCAACCTCTCATCACCCAGAAGAAAAACACTTTTCTAAAGTTCTCCCTATTTAGGATTGTTATGCAAAATTGGACTAATGTAGCAAAAGTGCTTGGGAATTATAAGGACTGTTAGGATACAAGTAGTCCTCGGCTTGCACAAACAATTGAGCCCAACCTTTATGTTGCTAAATGAGACAATGATTACGTGATTTTTGCCCCAGGTTATGAGCATCTTGCTACATTTGTTAAGTGAATCAGGGCAGTTGTTAAGTTAGTAACAGGGTTGTTAAATGAATCTGGCTTCCCCATTGAACTTTGCTTGTCAGAAGGTCGCAAAAGGTGATCGCGTGACCCTGGGACACTGCAACCTCCATAAATATGAGTCAGTTGCCAAGCATCTGAATTTTCATCATTGGTATGCTGCAATGGTCATAAGTGTGAAAAATGGCCATAAATCACTTTTTTTCAGTACCGTTGTAACTTTGAATGGTTGCTAAATGAACTGTTGTAAGTCGAGGACTACCAGTAGTATGGAAAAATTGGATAAGGATCAGTTGTAAATGGCCTTGTTTGGTGCTGCTGCAACTTTAAATACTCACTAAACAAATGGTTGTAAGTTGAAGATCAGGGGTGGTCTTCAGCAGGTTCTGACCAGTTCTGGAGAACCGGTAGCGGAAATTTTGAGTAGTTCAGAGAACCGGCCAATGCCATCTCTGACTGGCCCCGCCCCCATCTATTCTCTGCCTCCCATTGAGTCCCAGCTGATTGGCTGGGCCTTCTTTGGTTGCCCTGCACAGGAGAACAGAGCTGGAAAGCAGGTTAGTGGGGAGGGAATGGAGATTTTACAGTATCCTTCCCCTGCCACGCCCACCAAGCCACACCTACAGAATCAGTAGTAAATTTTTTTGAATCCCACCACTGCTGAAGACTATTTGTATTTCAATGCATATATCTCCAAAGGAATTTCTCTCACCTTGTATGCCTCAGGCTTGCCCTGCAACCGAGGTCTCAAATATTTTCTTGCGCCCTTCCATGCCGCTCAGAGCATCGATATTCTTTCTCCAATCACCTACTTCCCGATTCTCCTGGGGGGGGGGGGGGGGGGGAGACCAAGGGTCAGGAAATCAGTGAAGTCCTAGGCTTTGTGAGTGGAGTAACATGCCCTGTTAGTTCATTTATGTTTTTATTTCTTTGAGCTCAGAGCAGCTTTATTTTATTTTATTTTTTATACAAACTTTATTAATTTTATCAATTAAAACAAAACAAACATAGAAAGAATTAAAAGGCCTTCAACAATGACAGGCTGTGGTTTTTCATTTGTAACATTATTTTGTGCAATATTTACAACTAAAATATGTGAATATATATTTACTACAACTACTGCTTATCTTCTTTTACTGTTTACTATGTAATCTGTCTTTGCTCAATCCATTCATACCAATATTCCCAAATCATATAGTACTCTGATAATTCCTTGTCCTTTAAAGCTAGGGTTAGTTTGTCCATTTCTGCACAACTCATTATCTTTTGGATTACCATTTCCTCTGGGGAAGTGTAGGGCTGTTTAAACAGCTCTCCTTCCTCATATTCTTTCCTACATCAGCTCCATGTAATTGATTGGGAGACAGTGGCCGGTCCCCAGGTCCCTCATGGAGCTTCCAAAGCTGAGAATGGTCTACAGTCTGGATTTCTATGCTCTTAGTACATCACTGTGACCACTATTCCACAGAAGCCCAGGTTCCCCTTTGATTCATGGAATCATCAAAGTAAACCATAGAACTGTTAATGAATGGAATTCCCTTCACAGCTAAGAGAGGTTCATACTGTTGAGAATGTTCTTCTCTATATCCCCAAATTTGGAAAGGTTACTTGTGCCCAGTGATATAGTTGGACGTTCCTGAATTTTGCACTGTTCAGTTCTCCGGACGAGACCAAAGGGATCTCTCTTGTTATGAGAAATCTTTCCACCTTTTCTAAGCTGCAGTCTTGGTTGGATAAGTTACTCAGACTGAAGAAATGAGCTGCACTATTACATGTGTTCTTGAAATGCAGAGGTTTTTCAAAAATCAAAATCAACTCAACTATTTCCCTTTCCCCAGGTAGATTTTATACACGTTCCTTTATACCAGGGTTTCCCAACCTTGACAACTTTTAAGATGCACAGACCTCAATTCCCAGAATTCCCCAGCCAGAGTGACAAGGACTGGGAAATACTGGAAGTTTTGAAGTCCACGTGTCTAAAAATTGCTATGGTTGAGAAACCCTGCTTTATACCCTTGCAAAAAAGTTTTGCAAGGCTGTCCTCCAGGAAGGACTAAAAAAATAAATAAATATAGTGGTCATAATACATATGAAAATGACTTTTTGTATTGTTTTGGCTGCCATCTTGACTTTTTTGACCCCTTGCCTGTGACCTTTCTTGCAGCTTTGGAAGTAGTGTTGAATTTGTTATGAAAACCAGGAATTGGAGAAAGGACTCACAGGGCATCTAAATTGACTTTCTTCCTCCCAAGTGAATTTTAAGATTGCTATTTATGAGTAACAAAAATAAAAGGTTGCTACAGTAATGGTAAAATGTAGCCCAACGTGCCAAAAACTAAATTTAAGACTTTGACATACGTCACTGATGGGAAATTTGTGCCTGGAAATTATTCACCACCAATGAATGATCAGTCAGGCTGTAAATAAATAAGCAGACAAGTATGCAGAGTTTGAGCAATTCAGTCATCTCAGAACTTCATCCACTCCACAAAGATCTTAGAATTTTTGGAGGCCACAAGGAGATGTAACACCCCATTTATGGTCTGCAGAGCCTCCACAGAAGAGGCTTGAGGGACAAAATATATTCAAACTATCTGAAAGGAATAATTTTGTTCTTTTGGGGTGTGTGTGAGAGTTTAAATAACTCTTTATCCATTCAAAACCCAACTTTAAAGCCTCTGCCTAACAAAAATTGCCCACTCTTTTCCTAAACGAAAGAGACGAATGACTCTGAAGCTACCATCTGTCCACTTCCTCTTCCCTCCCTCTCATTCTTGGCTGCTGATCCTTTCAGTCTCACCTTCTCTGTGTCATCTTTCTTGACCTGTTTCAGGTTGGCCCGCAGATCCATAGAGACCTTGTGCTTGGAGCCAAGCAAGGCCTGCATCATGGCATCAGCCGAGAGACGCACCCGGCGAAGAGCAGGGCGCTTAAATTTGCCTCGCAGGTCAAAAATCTTCTGGTTCAAATCTTGGATCTGGAATCAGAATGGACAGCCTGTTAACACATTTGAAATCTAGGAGCAGCCAGGCACCAAATTCACTTTGTCATTTTCCCCAACTGGATGGTCTCCAGATACCTAGATGGGGTGATTGTGACTGGGAATTCTAGTCTCAACACATCTGAAAGTTGGGGAAAGCAAAGTTATATGAAGAAAACTTCAGTTAGGAGTGAGATGTCCTTCCAGATTTCCTCAAACATTTCCATAAGCTGTCTTAAATAAAGAGAATTCTGAAACTGTAAATCAGTAGTTCTCAATCTCAGCAATTGAAAGAAGTGTGTACTCCAGCTCCCACAATTCTCCAACCAGAAGACACGAGAGAATTAAAACCCACACATTTTATAGTTGACAAGTTTGTTGAGCGCTGTCCTAGAAAGATCGTGAGGGCTGCTGGGTTTCACTCTCTCCACTCACTAGCACTGATGAGGTTATCTAATATGGCAATGAAACGTTTGCAAGCAAACAATCAAGTTCACAGAGTACCAAGAACTCCGAAGATGGGGATGAGAGTTTGTTCTCTCAGCTTGTGGGTTGGTTTCCAAACATTTCATTACCAGGCTAGGTAACATCTTCAGTGGAGTTGAAGGATTTGAGATCGTGGCATATGACTGTGAGGTGGTATTCATAGATCCTGATTTTTAATTGACATGATGTTTGCCCCACATAGAATTAGTTGCAATGACTATAGTTGGATTTTGTAGATTATACATTGTTTTTTTCATCCTTTTGCATCTTGTCTTTGGTTCTGGATAATTTCTGGTGGAGTGTGGCTGTGGGTTTGTGGGCTATTGCTATTCCTAGGGAGTGGAGGATTCTGTCAAATCTTTAATCTCTACCCACATCAACAACAAACAGCACCAGTTTGATTGGAGCAACACAAAAATCATCAGCCATGCTAGAACTGTATTTGTAAGAATTGGAAAAATGAAAAAATACCTATGCAGGAGGAAGTTATTAAGAAAATTATGGACTGTGCTGAAATGAGCAAATTGACATTCGAAATTAGAGAACAAGAAGTTAAACAATTTTATATGATATGGGACTTATTTTATCAATGATTAGATAAAAAGACATGGTAATGAAATAGACTAAGTTTTGTAATAGAAGATCAATAGATTGATATAGAATATAATACAAAATATATAACCATTGGATAAATGTATAATATAAATTTATAATCAAATCTAGAATATCTCGTATAAAATGATGGAATAATAGTTTAGTCAAATGAATTATTAATAACTGATAAACATATAAGCATATACTAGATTGACAATTTGAGAACCTATATAACTTGTGAGTAAGGACTATGAAAGGATAGCCCAAAAGATTTGTAACCAACTGACACACTGTATGTATATAATTGGAAGATGGTTTTTATGTTTTTAATGTTTTTTTCTGTATATGCTTGTCTTAAAAAATAAAAATCTTTAAAAATAAAATAAAATAAAATGTTATGTCAATTAACTCATGAGCGTGGCAGGGAGGGGGGTTTAGCATGGCTGATTTT